TTGTTTGCTTCCATACTTTTTCCCCACCCTGTATATATATATATATATGTATATATACACATACACATAAAGTTAATACGAGATTAATGCAGTTCTCATTCCTTATACGTTTATAAATAATTTAATTTTTTTTATTAGATTATTTTATTAAATTAAATTAAATAAACACTAAAATCTTTACCTTTGCATCTGACTTAGTATAATACTCGATGAAAGCGAATCCTCTATGCTTCTCAGTGCCGACCAGTTTTTTCGGTAGTCGTACGGCCTTCAACTCACCATATGATCTATAAAATTATAATTAATTAATTATTACATCGCGCAATTATTACAAAGATATTATATACATATATGTGCGTGCGTGCGTGCGTGCGTGCGTGTGTGCACATACTTGAACAATTCTGTCACTTCTTGGACAGTTGCTTGGAAGGGTATATTTCGTACTAAAATTTTAGTGCCAGTCTGTTCGGTGATCTTAGATTTCTTTCTTGCTATCTTGACATCAGATCTAAAATGTCTCGCGGTTATTAAAAATTCTCAATTTTTCAATAAGATAGAAATAACTTACATTAGTGTTCTTTCAGATCGTTTCAATTCTAAGCTCTTCCCATCAAGTACTGACATCTGTAACGTTTTTAACGCACGATCTGCGTCAAATTTTCTTTTGTATCTTACAAATCCGTATCCCATAGATAATTTTTTAGCAGGATTTTCTGGATCCATTTTAGTAGCTATTGTGACGTAATGAAGAGGACCACATTTGCCGAAGTACTACAAACGTAAAATTATATTATTACAAAAAAAAATTGATATCGTTTTTAACTACTTACATCTTTCAATTGTTCTTCCGTAGTTGAGAAATTAATATTTTTTACAAAAAGTGTTGTATCTAATTCGGGCGGCTCGTTATCTTCTTCTTTACGCGTATTATTCTTATTTTCTTTAAATTCTTTTATCGTTACTTCATCTTTAACTTCTTTCAGATCTGTTGATTTTTTAGTGATATTATTTTCAATTATGTTATTTTTAGATGCAGGTGTGGTAAAACTGTTATCTGGCGCCCACTCTAGATACAATGGTAGATGCTTATATTTTGTATAAGCTAATGCGCGGAAAGCCTTGCGTGCTTCGAACGGCTCCAAAAATTCAACCAGCGCTGTTATACCCGCCGGTGGCAATATAATACGCGCAAGTTCTCCATGTTTGGCAAACATTTCTTGTAGTTCATTTGGTTTTGTTTCAGCCGGCAAATTTTTTACCAAGATTATGGTACTGGATCTCTTCTTTGGTGCTTCATTAAAAGCATCCAAACATACGCCGTTTTCATCCAAGAAAATTTTTGTATCTTGAACCAATTGCGTTTCTCCTAATGCTAGTTTTACCGCGGCGCTCATTCCATTCGATTCATCTTCCAATAACTTCTCCTTTGTGGTGTTGTAACGACTGACGATAGCATTTGCCACAGCGTTCTGTCCAAGAAATAGTGTATTCCAATTATGTGACGAACTCGCAGTTGCCTTAGTCTGCAATTCTTTCTTTTGTTTATAAGTTAAATTTTCAGTATCGATATCCTCTAAGGAAGTTTTTGTCTTTCCAGGAAGAATATGTAACATTCTACCATCTAATATAGAACCGTCCAACTCGCTATAAGCTTTTACAGCATGTTCTGGCATCAGAAACGTTATTGTGCCAAACCCTTTTGGTTTCCTAGTTATTCTATCTACAGGTAAATCCACTTCAGACAGAGGACCATATTTTTCAAATAGTTTTCTGACGTTATCCTCTGTAGTTGTATACGTTAGATTTCTGATAAATATTCTTCCAGATTCTGCTATACTTTCTTCGTTTTTTAAAGCTTCTTCTTGTTTCTTCCATTTAATATTAGTCTGATTACACGAGTCCTTATTAGATTCAACTTCCTCTTTTCGCTCATATTTGGATACAAATATTTGTTTCCCTTCTATATAAATAAAAAATATACTTAAAAATATGCAAAATATTGTATTTTACTTTAAATTACATTTAGTTTTGTTTTACCTAGAAAACTCTTATTTTTCATAAGAGCTTTCTTCATAGCTTGCTCTGTTTTGAATCCCACATAAGCTATACCTTTAATTTTGGGGGGGATTCGTATAGATTTCGGTTTTATAGGACGAAAAAATTGTTTAATATGCTTTTTCATGTGTATGTATGCAAGTCCTCGTATTTTTACAGTATATAATGTTAATGGACCATGCTTTGACATATTTTTTGTCAGAGATTTTATTCCACTCTGACGTAACCAATCAGGTTCGTCTTTTCCACTTGAGAGTGTCACTTTTTCTAAAATAAAATACATAAATATATTTTCTCCAGTTATTTTCTTACTCTACAAGAGATACAAATTGCAATATTCAAATAAAATAAAATTTATTTTTAAAAATAATATATTAGTCAACAGAATTCCTAGAATATGAATTCTTCTACAGAATATTGTGT